ACCTAGAAATGACATTGGCCTCATGACTCTCCGGGGCTGTAAGATGAACCCTGTGCATCTGCAGCTACCCACAGTATAGTGATGAATGCGTTCCCACCACTGCTCTCCTTGCTGTGATGGCAGCAAGTGGGCTACACTTTTGGAAAAGATAGGAGAGGTAGCTCCTATCTGGAGGTGCCATGAGTGCCCCCCATTCCTTCTGTTTGTCTATCAACAGGCAGGACAGTGGCTGGGAGACAAGCCTAGTCTTAGATGCCCTTAGTTTCTGCTTTCCCCTGAGTGTCATTTGATGGTGCATGTCCCTTTGCTTCCCCCTCAAGACTGTATGCTGTTCTGTAGTCACCCCACCACAGCCCTCTGGATCATTATCCAGCTCCTATACACAGACACACAGCTGCCTAGTGAGCAATGCAAGCCTAAGAGAGGGCCTCATAGAGGAGCCAGGCAGAGTTTGAATCTGTAGTCATCCCTGAATGGCTCTCTTCCCCAGACAGCTCCTTGGCCGTCCTGTCCCTGGGTGTCCTTGCTGGCTTGTTCTGGCACAGTTCTCAGTGTTGCCAGCTCCCCCAACCATTCCCTACCATCCTTCAGGTTGAAATTTTCTTGTGCTGTTCCATGAGATGCTTTCTTCTGTGCTCCCACACCCACATGACATCCAAGGAACTGAGTGAGGGACAGCATTGCCAATGAAGGGCAGAGGGGGAGGGGAGAGGCACTTGGCTGTTCAGTTGGAGAGGGGTGAGTTTGGGAACTGAAGAGGCCCCAGAGATGTGCAAGCCCTGATCCCTCAGACCTGCACTAATGACCTCTCAGTGAGAAGGGTCTTTGCAGACATGCTTAAGGACAGAGGGATAGGCTGTCCCTTGGATCATCTCAGTGGGCCCCATGTGGTTGCAGGACCTTCATAAAGGGGAGGCAAGTGGAAGAGCTAAGAGAAGGTGGTGGAAGCAGAGATGGAGTCAGGAGATGCTATACCCCTGGCTTTGAAGTGCAGGAAGGGCTGGAAAGGGTGAGGAAACAGCTCTTCCCCCAGGGCTCCACAGGGAACCAGTTCTGCCTGCACCTGGTTTGGGCCTCCTCAAGTTCTTTCAGATTCCTGTGTGCTGAACTATAAGATGGCAGATTTCTGTTCCTTTAAGCGACTAAATTTTTTTTCACAATAGCAAGAGAGGAGGACATTGAAGTGTTTTAAGCACACCTATACACATAGGCACATGCATATGCACATTTGTGCAGGACCATTTTGGTCATTGGGAGGGGAAATTTTGGTGGAATCTGTGCTAACAAAGTTTCAGGTATTGCTACATTTTTATTTCATAATGCTTAATGCTTGCATTCAAAACTTACTTTTACTTACTTGAAAAGCAGAGACACATATTTCCCATCCACTGGTTGACTCCCCCACATTCCTGCAACAGCAAAAGCTGTGCTAGGCCAAAGCCAGGAGCTGGGAATTTAGTTGAGTCTCCTCCAAGGGTGGCAGGAACCTCAGTATTCAAACCATTATCTCCTGCATCCCAGAGTGAACGTTGGCTGGAAGTTGCAACCAGGAGCAGAGCTAGGACTTGAACACAGCACCCTAATATGCAATGAGGGTGTCCCAAAGAAAATCTTAACCATTGTTCCAGCATTTGCATTTTGAACACTCCATCTGCAATGCTATCTCAGGGTTGTAATGTTTTAAATCATAAAACATGGGAGGAAAAATGAACTCAATATAATTTATGGCAGTGGTCTGGAAAGGAGAACAGCCATATTATCACAGTGGAACTTTGAGTACCTATTCTCATGACTTTAATTCTTGTATTAAGGTGTAAATTAGTGCAATAAAAACTCCTCAGATCAAACAAATATCAACCTCTGTGCTACTCTGACCCGCTTGGAGATGTAGAGTGTTTCCATCTCCCTGGGAGGTTGCTCCCCTCCCTGGATTCTGACTCCACACCTGAGTGGACAATGGGGCTGTGTCTTGACCCTCCAATGTTGCTTTTCCACCTTTAGACCCTGGCACCCTCTCTTTTCTCTGTCCAGAGTCTGCCCTCCAAGTTCGGCCCTGGGCTTCCATATTGTTTCCTGGAGGAGTCTTTGGGCCTCAGGAGCTCATCCCCACTCAAACACAGGTTGGGCCTGATTTCCCTGGTTTATGTTTTTCATAGCACACAGTTTGAAATAGCTTTAGTGTTCCTGCTAACTGGATTCCGGTTTGTCTCCATCTGCTGTGAAATGTCAGCTCCTTGAAGGGGAGGGGAATGATGGTCTTTACCTGTTAGAACCTGCCTGCCCCATTCAAGTTGCTCAGGAAACATCTCAGAGGTGCATGAATGAATGCAGGTGTCTTACTGGGGACTGTCACATGCTCAGATGGCCTCTGCTGCCAGGTGGATCCTGTACATTTCTTCATTCTGTTTATTTCTGAAATCAATTTCATGTCAGCTGAGTCCTGCTCTTTCTGGTGGTCCCAGGACATTGGATTTTCTTCCACATCAATTACCTTTGGACAGTCAGTCACAAACAGAGCTTTGTGATACTGTATCTCCTTGGGATCCCGATAGCTAAGGAAGCAGTGAGCTAAGGATGCGATGCATGGTGGTGGGGGTTATTGAACATTAAAAGGGCAGTCCCCATCTCCTAAGAGTTCAGTCAACTTGTTCAGTCCCAAAGTCATGGCAGACAACAGAGAGCAGTGTACACCGCACACTACATGCTACACACTACATAGTATGTGCACACTGTATGGTGCACAGTCATCTTTGGGGGTTGAGAGAAGTTGGTGCAGGGACCCACCCCTACACAACTGGTGGTTGGAGATGGGAGTGCTTTGGAAGAGCTCACATGATCTTTGGCTGGAGCTGGGTGGCAGTGAGGATGGGGCAAACGGAATTGTACCATTACCTGCCTTGGGGTGCTCTTCAGCGTCTGTCTGCTGAGTGTCCAGTGGGCTGATATCCCTAGTGGGCCTGGGGCTTCTGTGGTCCAACTACACAGGCATCACCAGGCAATTCCAAGAGGCTATGCTGAGTGTCCAGTGGGCTGATATCCCTAGTGGGCCTGGGGCTTCTGTGGTCCAACTACACAGGCATCACCAGGCAATTCCAAGAGGCTACTGCTCACTACCCTGTGACAGTTTCTAATCTCCCTGAGTTTGTGGCATTTTCAGTTGTAGCAAGTTTTTGACCCCAAAGGGCAGGGATAGGGGAATCAGAAACTGTCTTGAGCTGCAGAAGCTTAGAGCTTTGGAGAAGGAAGGGTGGAAGTCAGCCTGGACAGAGGGCCAGGGAGCTGGGATCTGGCATGGCTGTGTGCACTACCCTGACAGCCTCAGGAAGGGCTAAACAACCAAAGATGCAAGGGAAAAGGAAACAGGAAAACCCAGCAGCAAGGCCCAGGGAAGGGCCTTGTAATGCAGCCTGGCATTGCAGAGGGGCCTGGGGCTGGTGATTGGCAGCAGGTCTGTGTGGCACTTCAGGAGACCAACAGGAGGGCTTGGGCACAGGAAAATACATGTTAGGGTCAACTCCTAGCCATTGCATGAGTTCAGAGCCAGGTTTCAGGCCTTACCTTGATCTGTTTTGTGCTGCGTTAATAATATATTTGAGGCTGAGCACCTTATGAAGGAAAGGTTTATTTGGTTCACAATTCTGGTGGCTACCATGTCCACAGAGCGTGGCATCAGGTGAGGGCCCCCTGGCCATGTAAGAACAAGGAAGCAAGAGTGGAGGCAGTGGCCATCTGGTTTTTTTAAAATATACTTTTATTTTTAAAGGACATAGTAACTTTCATATTTATGAAAATACAGTATAATTTCATACCATGCCTAAAAAGTGTAGTGATCAAATCAGGATAATGTGTATGTGTATTGCACAGGCAATTGCACACATGCACAGGTTATTGGCATATTTTATGACTATATCATTTTTTGTGTTGAGAACATTGAAAATTGTTTTAGTAGCTATTTGGAAATACTCAGCTGTGGTCATCCACAGTTACCTTGCTGTGCTGTAGAACACTGGAAGTTATTCCCTCTATTCAGGTGCACCCCTGTACCCACTAACCCTCACCTCTGCTTCCCTCCCACCCTGCAACCTCTCTAGGCCCTGGTAACCACTGTTGTATTCCCCACATATCTGTGATCAACTTTTCCACTTCCACACATAGTGACAACTGTGGTATTTGTCTTTCTCTGTGACAGGCTTATTTCATTGAACACATTGCCTGAAAGTTCCATCAGGTTATAGCAAAAGATAGAATTTCATTCCCTTTTAACATTCCTTTGCATGTGTATATCACATTTGGTTTATCCATTCTCCAGCTGATGAGCACCTGATTCTACATTGTGGTTACTGTGAATAGTACAACACTAAACATAGTGCACACGTCTCTTCAATATACTTTCAGCTCATAGATACACGCCCAGTAGTAGGATAGCCAGAGCATATAGCAGTTCCGTTTCTGGGTTTCTCAGAATTGGCCACATTGTTTTCCAAAATAGTGACAATCATTTCCATTCCTACGAAGAGATCCCCTTTCCCCACACCCTCACCAGCATTTGTTATTTTTATCTTTTTGATCAAACTGTTCTAACTGGAATGAGATGTTGATTTTGATTTGCAGTTCCCTGATGATTAGTGACATCTTTTTCCATATTCTTGTAGGTTGTTTGTGAATCCTGATTTCAGAATATCTGTACAGGTTATTTCCCCATTTTATAATCAGGTAATTTAGATTCTTGAGTTTCTTCTTCATTATGGATATTCATAAATATTCATTCTCAAAAAGAAAGTTCTCTAAAGTGCACTTCTGTGTTTTTCAGTCATCTTAGAAGAGTCATCTTGGGCGCTTCCAGCTCTCTCATTCCCTCTGTTCAGTCAGTTGGGTCTGTGACCTAGGCTCCAGGTCTTTATCACTTCAGGGCCTCTTAGTGGCTCCAGTCTTGAAGAGGTTTTACCTATAGGTTCTGCATTAACATCCCAACAGGAACTTTCCCAAACCACAAACTTCATTGTATCATTCCCTAGCCCCCCAATTTATTGAATCCTTAAAGCACACATAGAGAGATGCTGGCAGCAGAGTGCAGCTTAATGTGGTGCACGTAGAGGGATGCTGGCATCGCAGAGTGCAGCTTAACCCAGTGCACCTCAACATGAGACCCAGGATGAGGGACTTTCTGCAAGGACTTTGGAGGGGTCCATTCACTTCTTCCACCATGTGAGGACACTTCAAAAAGGGGCCATGTTTTTCCTAATGTTTGGATGTTGAACTCGGTCATACTGGTGTATTTAAAGGGGTACAATGCTCCCTTTCAACTCTTACACATGTGGTAAATAGCAGGCCTACAGCCTTCCATTTCATTATCAAGTTTTTGCTGAGGGCACCAACACAGAAGCAGAAAGTGAGCCCTTTCAAGTTACTGGATCTGCTGGTCCTCAATTTTACTCTCCCCAGCCTTGAGAACAGTATGAAAATTTTCAAATACCCAAGACAAGGTCTTTTTACAATAGCAAAAAAGCACTGAAATCTCTAGGAATGTCTTACTTTTCTCCCTACAATTTGAAGCATAGCTTTGCAGGCTACAGATTCCTCAGTTTGTGCTTTTTTTTTTTTTTTTTGCCTTCTGCACTGCACCTCATCAGCCCACTGCCTTGTGGTCCTCCAGGGATTCCGATGAGCAATCTGCTCATGAACATAGGGGAAATGATGGAAGACACCTCCCTCTCAGCTCCACAGGTATGAACAATGCACCAAGCTGTCACGGGCAACAGAACATTTTGTGATAGTGTCATGATGGCAGGAAAGTGATCCCATCATGCTGGGACCTATCACTCAGATGTTAAAGAGAAAGGAAAGGCTATTTGGGGTGTAGACTTTAGGAGGCAATTAAAACATTCTACATGTGTTAATTTTGCAAAAAATAAATATAAATTTCTATCACTAACCTAAGCAATGATCTTTTGGGGGTACTTCCTCTTTAATCAAATGGACAGATACTTCTGGAAACTGCCGTGGAGTATCACCAACTGTGATTGGTCCATTTCTTGCTCTGACATTGGAAGGCACATTGTGATGTCATTCCAACTGCCTGTTTGAATCCCTGGCTGGGCGGAGGATTTTGTCCGTTTTTCCAGGAAGCAGTTGGATGCTGACTGGCGAGACTTGAACAAAGCTACATGTTTTTCCATATTTTGTTGTTTTGCTGTTTTATCTATTTCTTGTTAGTGTGTTGTTTATTTTGTTCTTTTATTGTTCTGTTCATTTTGTCCTCTCCTCTCCCCCACAAGCTTTTACTTCTTATCTGTGCATTTTTATTTTATTTAAATATCTCCTCATTTCTCTTTTGATTTTTCTTGTCATTTCTCCTATTTATTTCCCATTTTCATTTTCTAATTCTTTAATTCTTGTATGTCTCACCTTCTTTTTCTCATCTATAATCACTTTCTTTACATAGGAGGATTAGTATTGTAAGTTTAGTTATAAGAGTTGGTGTTTTACTTTCTGTTACAGTTTTCCATGTTTCTGTTTTAACATTTTTGATTATTTTGTTTGAATCATGGATTAGTATAGTGTAATTCATATATAGTGTTTGTTCAAAATATTAGCATAGTGAATAGAATTAATCTTAATAATTAGTGTACTTCATATACTGTTGTTTTTGTTATGCCCAGATAAGTAGATCCCCAAGGAGCTATCAGCAACCCGATCACACTGAAATACGAAAGCAAGGTTTTTATTAAAAAGGTACAAGCCGCGACAGGGACCTCATCCAACCAACCGGCGCAGTGGAGAAAGGAGGAAAGGCCCAGGTCTTTGGGGACACTTTTAAAGGGGAGATACATCAGCAAGGGCTTAAGGTGCAGGGCCTTTTGTGATTGGGCAGGGAGGGGTGTGTGTGTCTCCATTTGGCTTGGGTTCAGGGAGTTACCTCAGTGGGTAATCTCTACTGAGCTGCCCTTGGTCTACTGAGCTAGCTGCCCTTGGTAAACTTTGATATCTCAGGAATGCCTGAATGTCTGATTTTACAAGGACGTGGGTCTGCTATGGGAAATGGAGGCTGCTTTTTATTGTTTCAAAATAGTCCCTTTGACTCTTCAGTTTTGTCTGTTCTTTTTAGTGCTGTTTCTTTTGTTCTTTTTTTGTTTTGTTTTCCCTCTTTTCTTCCCCATTCCCCACAGATTTTTGCTTTTTATCTGTGTGTATTTTATTTAAAAATCTCATTTCTTTTTTGATTTCTCTTGTTGTGTTCATAACATCACATAGTGAATTAGAATTGGTCTTATTGATTAGTACAGTGAAGTTCATATACAGTTTTTTTGTCTATTTGTTCTTTAAGAGCTTTATTTTTTATTTTTTATTGATAGTTTTCCTCCCCCAACTCAATTTTTTCATTTTATCTCTGTGTATTTAATTTAAATATCTTTTCTTTTTCTCTTTTTCTTGTTATATTAGTAAAATAATATAGTGAATAGAATTAGTCTGTAGTATAGTAAATGTAGTATTACCTGTTAGTTGACTTATTCATTTGTTTCTGTCATTTTATCTATTTATTTATTATCATGTTTATTTCATTCATCTGTTTTTGTTTTGTCACTTTTGATTATTTTGTTTGAATTAATGATTAGTATAGTGTAATTCATATACAGTGTTTGTTCAAAATATTAGCATAGTGAACAGAATTAATCTTAATAATTAGTGTAGTTCATATCCCATTGTTTTGTCTGTTCTTTTTAGTGCTGTTTATTTTGTTGTTCTTTTGTTTTTCCTCTTTTCTCCCCCACTAATTTTTTCTTTTTTTATCTGTGTGTGTTTTATTTAAAAATCTCATTTCTTTTTTATTTCTCTTGTCATTTCTTCTATTTACTTTCTGTTTTCATTTTCTAATTGTTTAATTCTTCTGTATCTCACCTTTTTAATTTTTTTCTCATCTGTAATCACTTTACATAGAAGGATTAGTATTGTAAGTTTAGTTATCAGAGTGGGTGTTTTATTTTCAGTTATGGTTTTCCATGTTTTTGTTTTGTCACTTGATTATTTTGTTTGAATCACTGAATAGTATAGTGTAATTCATATATACTGTTTGCTTGAAATATTAGCAAAGTGAATAGAATTAATCTTAATAATTAGTGTAGTTCATATACCATTTTTTCTCTGTTCTTTTCTGTCGCTCCCCCTCTTCATGGAGGAACGACACAGGACCCTGCGCTGTTCTTTCGTCTGCTCGGCCCTCCCCGGGTTTGCTGCTGGTTCTTCCCGGGTTGGCTACTATCCCTTCCACCTCCGTGGAAGGGCAGTTCCCCCTGGCCACATTCCCCACTTCCGCAGGGGAGCGGCACACCGCCGGCCGGCTCTTCTCGGGGGCTGCACAGGTGTTCCTCTTAGATGTTCCCCTTAGATGTTCCTCGTAGATGTTCCTGGTGAATGCCGTCTCTCTCCTCCTTTATAGTCCTCCTCCGCCAATCCTAACTCGGCTGCCCACATGCCGAGTACGCTGCTCTCCAATCAGGAGTAGGTCCTACAGTTTATTGGTTGAACTGGAGGCAGCTGCGTAGAAGCTGTTTTCTCCTCTCCCAGCGCCATATTGTGGGAGAGCAGATGCATAGAATAAGTCTTAATTCCAGTAACTCAGTCTAGTCCGGGTTGCTCCCCACACTTTTCAGTGCTGTTTATTTTGTTCTTTTTTTTGTTTTTCCTCATTTCTCCCCCTCAAATTTTTGCTTTTTCATCTGTGTACTTTATTTAAAAATCTCATTTCTTTTTTGATTTCTCTTGTTGTGTTCATAATATCACATAGTGAATTAGAATTGGTCTTATTGATTAGTACAGTGAAGTTCATATACAGTTTTTTTTTTGTCTATTTGTTCTTTAAGAGATTTATTATTTATTTATTTATTTATTTTTGGGTTTGAACTGACTTTATTATTCTGTAAATGTGAATTTTACAAAGTGCTTTTATCATGAATGAAACATCCTGGGCTCCTGCCTCGGCCCGGGAGCCCCCGCACCCTGGCCGGGAACACGCCTGTGGCTGTGGCACCGGGGTCGCAGCCCCGACGCCAGGGCAGCCAGGAGCCAGTGAGGATGAGGGAGACGCTTCCTCCCTCTTCAGATGAACAGAAAACCAAAACTGGCATCGCAGGGGCCGCGTCTGCCTGGGTGGCCAGGAGTTCACAGGTCCCGGACGCCCTGTGGCCCCGCCCTCTCCCCACACACACAGCTTGAGCGTGTTTGCACCCACTGCCATCCACATTTTCAAGTCAAAAATATTTATACATTTTATGCTGAGTTCTTTTTTTTTGTCTGCTAAAAATAGTATTGCAAGTTATGGCTTCTTTTGACATAGAAATTAGAGTCGTGCACAAGGTTAACAATGGAAGCGACTGATCGCGCAAGCAGGGCACCCACCCTGAAGCTTCTCCATCCTGCGGTTTGCCTTTCCTTGTATTTTTTTTTCTCTTCAGATCGTATATTTTTTATTTTTATTGTTAGTTTTCCTCCCCCAACTCAATTTTTTTCATTTTATCTCTGTGTATTTAATTTAAATTTCTTTTTCTCTTTTTCTTGTTATATTAGTAATATGAGTATAGTGAATAGAATTAGTCTGTAGTATAGTAAATGTAGTGTTACCTGTTAGTAGTTTTAACATATTGACTTATTCATGTGTTTCTTTCTCATTGGATTGCCAGGTCACCATAGGTGCTGTAGGAGACTAGCTAGTGTTACTCCCAGTACACTAGATACCAAGATATCCCCACAATGAGTGGTGACAGATCCTCCCACACAGAGGAGGTGTTCTGGGGATATGATGTCCTCAGAACCCTTGGCAAGGGCAGCTTCGGCAAGGTGAAGCTGGCCCGCCATATAGAGAGTGGGACCATGTTGGCTGTGAAGATCATTGCCAGAGGGCACGGGGATTCCTCCAAGTTCCCACAAGCAAGGGTAGAAGCAGATTATGAATTCTCTGCATCACCCTAACATTGTAAAGCTAATGCAGGTAGACTACATGGCAGAGAGAGCCTACCTGTTCATGGAGTATATTAGCATGGGGGACCTTGGAATGTTAGTGGCAGTGCACGGCCACCTTCAGGAACAAGAGGCATGTTGGTATTTCAGTCAGACCCTAGAAGCAGTGGAGTACTGCCATAAGCAGCACATTGTCCACAGAGATATAAAATTAGAAAATCTCCTTGTGGACAGAAAAATGTGTTTTAAACTAACTGACTTTGGCTTAAGCCAAAAGCTGACTGAAGGCCAACAACTCAATTCATTGTGTGGCAGCCTTGAATACTGTGCCCCGGAAGAATTCTTAGGTAAGGAATTCGATGGGTACAAGGCTGACGTGTGGAGCCTGGGCGTGCTCCTATACACCATGGTGAAAGGGTGGCTGCCCTTTGAAGGGGAGAGCTTTGTGTGCCTGAAGGAAGCCATCCTGGCTGGCTCTTTCCTAATCCCCTCCTCTATAAGTGGGGAACTGGAGCAGCTGCTGGACTGGCTGATGACCTATAACCCTGCTAAGAGGCCCACAGTGGCAGATGCTGTGGGCCATAAGTGGCTCAGCATGGAGCAGAAAGGGTCCAAACTAAGTGAAGATGCAGCTGAACAGTCTCTGAGTTCAACCAAGGACGAGGACCTCAGTGACAGTGTGGAGAGCCTGAGCTCTCAGGAGGGCCTCAGAGAACAGGACGGCCCCCTGTGGGGAAAAGCCCAGCTAAAGGCTTACCTCAGAGGAGGAGGAAGTGAAATTTACATGGGGCTCCCAGGTCCTTCGCATGTTACTGAAGGTCCGAAATACCTTTCAGGCCTTCTCTTCCAGCTGGGCCATGAGGAGGAGGATGGCTGCTTGTCCCCTCCTCTGAGTGGGGGGAAATCCCAGGAGGGCTTCAGTGGAGCAGCAAGAACTGAGCTCACTGAAGTGGAGCTTCTAGCATCTCCACAGGATGCTGAGGCCCAAAACTACCTGGTGGAGCTGGGCTTTCAGCTGAGCCATAAAGCAGCCTCCCTGATGCCCAGTCTCCAAGCCAGCGCCATGTCCCCAGTGCTGCCCAAAGGTGTCCCATCGTCAGGGCTAAATGCCTGCCACAGAGCCCGCAGGATGGACGGTTCCCCACCTGGCATGATGATGATCTACACTCCTCGCCCAGTCCTCAGGTACAACAGCCCCATGTGCTCTGTGTCCACTCTCAACACCAGCAGCAGTGAGGCCTGCAGGTCAGATAGTCCCCACCCTGTCATAAGGAGGAGGACCTACATTCCTGGGCCAGTCCTCAGCTACAACAGCTCCTTGTCCTCCATAGACACTATCAGTGTCACCAGCAGTGAGGCTGAAAGGACAGATGGTCCCCAACCTGGGATAAGGAGGAAGACCTACATTCCCTGGCCAGTCCTCATGTACAACAGCCCCGTGTCCTCCATATCCACTGTAGCTCCAGCAGCAGTGAGGACCACTTAGCAGACAGGAGCTGTTCCCAGGGAGTGGCAGAGAAAGAGAGCCTCCCAGAAAATCAACAGGATGAGGAGGCAGGGACCTCGCTTGCTAAAGCTGACAAGAGCAAGGGCCACCAGGGGGTCTGCAGGAGGATAGTGAACTGCCTTCTGTGGGTGTGTTGTATCCTGCCAGACCCAGAGGAAGACCTGTGAATTCAGAGAAAGGTGGCCCCGTAGCTTCATTCACTGGAAATTTCCAAGAGGAAGTTATGATCCCTGTCTGGGAGGAGGGATTGTGGGGAGGCAGTAAGATATAACAGACAGGGAGTGAAGACTATGGGTCTCATAGGAGGAACTAGGATCAGGCATCAGACCAGACCACACAACAAGGTCCTGTGTCTCATGTGGTTAGCAGCTGATCAGGTGAGCATAACCTCATTTCAGTGGTCAGGTCAGTACATTTCTCGGTTGTCACATGGTTCAAGTAGTCAGCAGAATAACATTTTTATTGGTTAGCATCCATGACCATTTGCTAGCCACCAGAAAAACAGACACCTGACATTGAAACGCTATAGTGAATGTATCCACGTATAAGGACTTACTATAGAAGCTCCTTTATAAGAGGCATAACATACTGGGGCACAGTGCCAGCCTCAGGGGCCTTTATCTAGATTCTGAGGACAGAGCCACACTGTGTGCATTCAGCAGAACTTACAGAACCGTATGTATAAACATCTCCCTGATTCTATAAAAAGTAGAAAAAAGGAACAAAGAGACCAGGCCCTGGGACCTCCAAGAGCTGTACAAACCTTGCCTTCATTGGGCAAGTAACTCCCACATTCTGAGCCCTGGTTACCACTGAAAAAGTTTGGGAGGAGGCTCTGAAAAGTCCTTGTGACACAGTGAAGTCTGGAGTTTCTGGGATGACAAATCCAGCCATGTGCTTGCTCAGGGAAACCCTGCTTGGATGCATCCATCCCCAGGTACATGTGGAAGAGAAGCCTTCCTTCTAGCATGAATGTACTGGACTCTCAGGTTATACTCAAATAGTCTCCCATCCTGTTTTGGGATGTGTGCAGGGGCCACTGGCTGCTTAGGGGATGATTAGCAGCTGCTGGCCCCAGTGGCTCACTTAGGTATGTGATGTCTGGGGTCACTGTCAAGTCCAGCCTAGTATTGGCAGCTATAGTCAAATTGAGTAACTTTGGTCTGCATTGATAGATATTGGGGTGGGGGGATTCTTTTACTTTTTAAATTATGCTAATAATACAAAGCACAAATGTTACTATTTTAACCCTTTTTAAGTATATAGTACAGTGGCATGAAGAGCAGTCACAGGGTTGTGTGCACATCACCACCACTCCTCTCCTCCACATGAAACACTCCCCATCCCCCTCCCCAGCCTCTGGCACCCCCAGGTCTACTCCTGTCTCAATGAATGGGACAACTCTATCTCAATTATTATGCAGTATTTGCTCTCTCCCTTTAAAATTTTATTGCATTTGCTCTTTGAGAGGCAGAGAGACAGGCAGAGCTCCCATCAGCTGGTTCACTCCTTGCAGGCCTGTAATGGCAAGTACTGGACTGGGCTGAAGCCAGGAGTGGGAAATCAATTCAGGCCTCTCATGTGCATGAAATGAACTCAACCATATGAGTCATCAGCTGCTACTTCACTGTCTGCAACAGAAGAAAGTTGGAGTCAGGAGCCAGACCTGAGAGTGAAACCCAATAACTCTGACATGGTACTCAGGCATCTTAACTGCCTGTCCTTGGTGTTTGTCTTTCTGTGGCTGGGTTGTATTATCCAGTCCTCAGGATTCATGCCTGCAGTAGCAAGTGTCAGAATATCCTGCCTTTGAAAGGCTGAATAATACTCCGTGGTTCAGTTGGACCACATTGTTTTTCCACATTCATTTCCTTTGGATGGTCCCATGGGTTGTTTGCATATTGGGGTAATGTGAATAATGCTACTGTGAACATGGGTACAAATTACTCCTTGAGACCCTGTCTTCAATTCTTTTATTATATATGTGCTTACATATTTGAAAGTGACTGAAAGAGAGCTCGGCCTCACTCCCCAGATGGCCACTACAGTGAAGGCAAGCCGGGATAAAGCCAGGAGCCCTGCACTCCATCTAGGTCTCCCACATAGTTGACAGAGGCCCAAGAACTGGAGCCATAAACTGTTGCCTTCCCATGAGTATTAGCAGGAAGCTGAATTGAAAGCCTATTAGCCAAGACTGGAACCAAACACTCCAGTATGGGATGTGGACCTCCAAAGTGGCAGTTTAATTAGCTGCACCACAACACCCACCCCCGTTTCCAATTCTTGGAGTCATATGCCTAGATATATATACACCTAAATGTATATATACCTAGATGGACTACTTGATAATTCAATGTTTAAAAATTTGGGTGGCAGTTCTCTTTTGTGGTGTAGCAGGTTAAACCACCACTTGGAACATCCACACTCCATATTGGAGTCAGTTCATGTTCCAGCTGCTCTGCTTCCAATCCAGCTCCACGCTAACGCATCTGGGAAAGACATGAAGGTTGTCTCAAGTACTTGGGCCCCTGCCACCTACATGGGAAACCCAGAAGAAGTTCCTGCCTTTGGCCTGGCCCAGCTTGTCTGTTCTGGTCATTAAGGAGGTGAAGCAGTAGATGGAAGAGTCTCTCTCTTGTCTCTCTGTCACTCTCCTCCCACTCCCTGCCACAGGCTTTGTCTTACAAATCAATAAATCTTTTTTTGGTTATAAGGAAATAGCTTATATTTATTTTTAATTTTTAAAAATATTAATTTGAAAGGCAAATGTACAGAGGCAGAAGCAGTGAGTGAAAGAGAGATTGAGAGAGAGAGAGAGAGAGAAAGAGAGGTATCTTCCATCTTCTGCTTCACTCCCTAAATGCTCACAACAGCCGTGGCTGGGCCAGGCTGAAGCCCAGAACTTGGATCTCCATCCTGGTCCCTCAAGGGAGTGAAAAGAACTCAAGTATTTGAGCCTTCACCTGCACATGAGCAGAAAGATGGACTGGGGACCTTAACTTAGTCTAGAGTCCAGGCACTTGGATGTGGATGCAGACCTCCTAAGTAGTGTTTTAGCTGCTCAGCCCATTTGCCTGCCACAATGTTTAATTATTTGGTGAACTGCATCCCATTGCTTTCTGTTTTATGTTTGTTAGGAGCACATCCCAAGTCCTAAAACTCAAAGGTAGGGGGTTGAAAAGTGATGGGACAAAGCAGGTAGCTAGGTTCAGACCATGGAGCTGGAAGTCACTGAGCTCCTGCCCCATGTAGTTCTAGCCTACTTGTCCACCAAACAACCCTTTCTGGGACACATCTCCTTTCCCTGTGATCTTAGGGTGAGGGGCCAAGTGAGTAGCCACTTTCCTTCCAACCTCATACACCAGCAACACTGGGAAAAGCAAGCTCTTCAGCTGGAGACCAGGACAGAAGGAGGTGCTGCCTCTCCTATTCCCCTCCCCCAGCTGTTTATGCTGCTGGCCACTCCCCACCTATGCTCATGCATGTGTGTTCTTTCACCTTTTAATAAACTTCATCATTCTGGGCAGTGTATATGTGCCTGTACTTAGAATGCCTCTCTAAATAGAAGGCACAGACCTGGAATACACATTCAGCCCCACTTTCTCCACTTCTTATGGGTGAGCCAGCCAGGTGTCTGAGAAAGCCCAACAGGGAACTGAAAAAGCAACAGTGGTAAGTGGAATTTAATTTGTCTCTGTCTCAGCTGTACTAAGCTTTTACCTCCTTGTGAAAATTCAAAAGTGTCTCCCTCAGTCTCACTGCTCTTGATCTCAGGCAGATCTGTTAAGATGCAGTTGTGGACACCTTGTTCCTAAGTTATAGCATTAGGGGATGAAAGGCGACTATGAGATGTCTTAGTAAGAAGGATCTGGACAGAGAAACGGGAAGAGAGTTGGCCAGTTTGTGGTCTTGTGCCCAAAATCTTTGTCTTTAGTTTATAGTGTGTTTTTTAAATTTTAAATTCGTTCTTGCTACTGAAAAACCTGGAACTTGCATTTAGTTTCTACTGGATGCAATACACCTGGCTGAAAAGTTCTGTCTTAAGATTTTGAATCATGGTGTTTTCCTTATTAAGATGGGCAGGTGGGCCAAGCAACTCACATTTCACTAGCAAACTTCTCTTCATCTGACTGGAGTGGTCCTCAAAACAGGTGTGCAGTGTATATATGTCAAACCCCCTGTCAGTAGGTGGTACTTCCTAACATGGCAGGAGTTCCTCATCAGGAGCCAAGGGAGGGATTTTGCCAACCATGGAAACCTCAAGTGTGACTTCAGCTTTTTGGTGGAAGATGGAAATTGACCCCACTTGACTATGGTGGACCCCATAGCTAGTGCAAGCCATGTACCTAATCAGCAGCACTACAATTTATCTTAGCTTTATGCTGGTTTCTGCTGCCCTGGAATACATAGCCAGGTATGGGTTTCAATGCTACCTGAGTTCACAAGCTCTAGATATGCTGGTCCTAGCCCCAGAGAATGTTCAGGGCACAGAAGCTTCAGGGCTTACAAACTCTAGCAGCTGGTCTTTAGGCATAGGCTGTGTTATTTTTACAACCCAGGAGCTTTTCCTCCTAGCGTGAGGAACAGTGCCCCACTAGACATCGGTTTCTTGCAGAGATGACATCCCATAAGCTCATGTTGGATGCTGGGAAAATGCACCACTATACATGTGTTCACTGCCAAGTGGGTTGGCACCTTTGTGAAAGCGGCAGCACTCTTCAAATGGCCAGATTATGTAAGGCATGTTCATTCAGACAATTTAATAGGGGCATTGGGTAATGAAGATGCCCTTAGATAACGATCAACCCACAGGAGCCCTGGAGGCAGGCTGCTTAAAACTGAGAACCTCAAATTGGGGTATAAAAACATTGTAATGTATCCAATACGACTAGTACAAGGGATCTGAATCACTTGCATAAGCATAACAGGGTTTGTGGAGAGCCATATCACTTTTGTCTTCTCAGGTTCTACAGAAACTTCAGCTGTATGTGATTACTCATTCAGCCCTGTGGACTCACTCCTAAGGGCACAGCTTCAAAAACCTCTAGATTTAAATCGAGATACCGAGTGGTTTACTGATGGCAGTAGTAACATGAAGTATGGAGTTAAAAATGCAGGTTATGACATGGTGGGTCTTAGGTGATAGAATCTCAGACATTGCCATCTAGCACTTGATCACTAAAGGCCAAACTTATTGTTTTAACTAGAGCCTTGCAATGGGGAAGAGCTAATGAGTTAATATGTACGGGCTCCAGTTTGTTTTCCTTGAGTTCCGTGCACATGGAGCCCTCCTGACTGCAAAGAACTCTCCCATTAAATAAGGAGAAGAGATGTTAGCTCTCCTTCAGTAGCACTGGAGTCTTTAGAAAGTGGTTGTCATTCACTGCAGGGGACACAAGAAGACAGGTAGCCATGCTATTCAGGGAAATGTGCTAGCAGATAAGGCAGCAAAAGTCACTGCTGCACAGCAGTTCTAGAAATAGCTTTACTACCTGAGCTTTTGGGTCACTGAATATCCTCAATACAGGAGCCCTGTCATAGAATGATCTCCTCAACCAGGCTACACGAAGGATGCCAGTGGAGGTGGCCGTTCAGTCATAGGGCATGTGCTGAATGGAGGATTATTAATATATGACACTCACTGTTTTGTAAGAAGTGGTTTAATGCCAGGACTTCCTTGGGTGTTTGGAGGGTAAAGGCTGCATACTGTAATAAAGAAAGTACCTCAGCATGTGGTGACTGCTTTAGGTTTTTCTTATTTCCATGCCCCTTGGAGAACTTAGTCATCATATAAACTCAAAAAGTTAGTCATATTCTTAAGATAATCCTGGCTAAGCTTTGCCAAGAGACCTCAGAAACATGGCTTAAATTCTTACCTATTGCCCTCAGGATCAAAGTGGCACCTAAGGCTGTTTAACTAAAATGCTATATAAAAAAGACTGCTTCACCTCTGACACCATCTTTGACTCAGGGATACAGGATCAGATTAAAGTTTAATATTAATCTTTTCCCTATACAAGAGGCTAATGGACTGTGGTAATAAAATTCTCACAGTGCCACATCCCCAAAGTCACGAACAGCCTGTCCCCAGGAGACCAAGGCTTAAGAGACACTTGGAGCAAAGACTCTTCCACTGATCAATTGCAGCCTAAATGAAAGGGATCCTACCAGGTGCTACCCAGCACTCCTACTGAAGTCAAATTCAGGGCATCCCAAGCTGGGTACCTTTGTCAAGGATCTCAGTTCTACCTCTTTAGTCTTCACAGGTGCACACAGAGAACAAGTCTGCTCACTCTTGTGAATGCATTGAAGATCTCGAATACATCTTCAAAGGGCAAAAGGGTGAGTAAAATCTTTACTTTTTTCATATTGAACCTGCTACACTTAATAGCCCACATGTTTTACCTATCTTATTCTCTCAGGAGGCTGCTGTTGTGAGGAAAACTCCATAGTTCTTGTAGTATGATAGCAGTAGGTCCTGCTAGGCCATAGAGAACCATTTAAAAATCTGTTCATTGTGTGGGCCAAACTAGAGCCTACACTTCAGGCCAGATTTTACAGCAATTGCTTGAGTCCGTGGGTGCTCTAAGATAGTCATGGACAACTAGCTGGCCATAAAATGCATACTGGCAAAACCAGGAGCGTGTGCAGTGATTAATGGAATCTGCGGCATCTACTCTAATAGTTGTATATTCACTGGAAAGGATACTACCAGTCTTTATGCCTATGCTAGATGGTTTTACAATCTGGGCAAAGACAATATATCAATGCTCATGTTTTGGGAAACAGTGGAATATATTCCTCCTATCTTGAAGGGGATTCAACTTGAAATTTATCTTTTTTCCAATTATGCTCATCCTGATTGACAAACTTTTCTGTTTCAGAATTCAACAGCTTCTCAAAATGATGATGATCATGCAGAGGCAACAGCCATTGGCCGTGATGAAAATTCCCCAGCTCTTGAGGTGGATTGATTAGATGAGATAAGAAGAGGTATCCGAACCCTGGATAGGTAGGGACAATGCCCCTGGCCAGCAGGAAGTAGCTACAGAAGACAGATCATCATCCTTCAGCACCCCCTTAAGATTAAGGGTCAGAAATCTCTGCGGGGGGATGAGATTGGATAAGGCAGGTAGCTAGGTTAGGGCCACAGAGCTGGAAGTCCCAAGTCACAAGCCCTCGCCCAAATGTAATTCTGTCCTACTTGTCCAATAAACTGCCCCTTACTGGGCGTGTTTCCTTCTGGGTGGGGCACGTGCCATGTGAAGTTCCACCACACTTCTACCTCAAAAGCAGCCAGCACTGGAAGAAGTGTGTCCTGCTCTTGGGAGACGGATGCTGAGGTGCTGTCTCTCCACTTCTCCTCTTACCTCCATTTTCCCCGGCCCACTCCCCACCCATGCTCACGTTTCCTTACTTTATCATCCCTTAAATAAATGTTATTGTTTTGTGTACTGTGCATGTTTCTGTGCTTCAAATGCTTATCTAGGTAGAAGGCAAGGACCTGGAATAAAATTAGACCCCACTTCAGGGTTAAGGTTCTATTTGCAACAGAAGGATCCCATATCAGAGGGCTGGCTACTCCACTTCCTATGCAGTTTCATATTTAAGCACACCTGGGAAGGTAGCAGGTGATGGCCAAAGAGCTGGGGCCCCTACCATGTGGGAAAGACAGATAGAATTCTGGGATCTTAGCTTCATCTTGGCCCAGCGTCAGCCATTTTGTCCATGTGGGGAGTGAACCAGTGAATGGAAAATGTGTTTGTGTGTGTGTGTGTGAGAGAGAGAGAGAGAAACTCTGCCTTTCATATAAATAACAAATATTTTTAAAAAACAAGTTGTACCAGGAGGTGGGGATCAACAGTGGCTATCTCAGAGCCTGCCTACACAATTCAGGCCATGAATGAACCTAGAATGTTCTGTGTGGCACCTGAAACATGTAAACCATACAAGCAGAAACAAACTTTATGAACAAGGTGCCTCCAATAGGTTTTCTACTTAATTTAATGGGAATATGGAGGCTCAGTGGTGAAGAGAGTTGACAGTAAGATGCTGCTACCAGTAAAGCAACATTGAGAACCTGGGCCCATCTCACTCTAAACACAGGCTTTTTCCTTTACACTTCCCTTCTCTGATTCTCATTAGAGTGGTGTAAGATACACACTTGGGGGTGGGCATTTGGCTTAGAGGTTAAGATGCTCCTTGGGACTGCACATCCTATATCAGAGTCCTTGGTTTGAAGCCTGGTTCTGCCTCCAACCCTAGGCTCCTGCTAGTGCACACCCTGGCAAGCAGCAGTTGATGGCTCAACAATGTGGGAAACCCAGATAGAATTCCAGGCTCCTGGGTGTTGCCTGCCATGGCCTGGCTCTTACAGGCATTGGAGATTGAGCCAGCAGTTGGAAGATATCTATGTCTCTCTTTCTTATAATAACAATGATAATAAATGAATAACATAATAAAAAGCCTAAACCCTGACACTGAGCAGGTGTTGGCAAAAGTTCATTCCTAGAATTTCAGCATTTACCACAGATACAGGCAATGACACCTAGGATTACATTGTCATCTCTTCTAAAACCAGCCTGGAGTCATCTAGGAAATGTCCCAGCTCAGTTAGTAGAGGCAATGAGCACCCAGATGAGCCCAGAAAAGCCAGCTGAGTGGTTAAAGTGAAGGCAAAGACAGGATGTTGGATCTTCCTCCTCCACTTCTATCACTTGGCATGTCACACATGGTGTGATCACACTGGCCCTGCCAACTCCACAGGCCATTTAGGTTTACCTATGGGGCAGGTGTTTAATTGGAGTTTTAGAAGCCCATGTCCCACTCTGGAGTGCTTGAGTAAAGTCCTGAGATTGGCACATGACTCCAGCTTCCTGCCAGTACACAGCCAGGGGACCAACAGTGATGGCTCAAGTGATTGGATCCCTGAACAAAGTTGTTGGCTCCTGGCTTTGGCTTGGCCGAGCCCTAGCCATGGTGGGTATTTGGAGAGTGAACCATCAGGTGGGAACTTGCTGCCTCTCTGCTGTTCAAATAAATGCCTACATGCAAAATTTGTTAAAAATTAATTTGCCCATAATATTGCTATTAGGCACTTGCTTTAACCCAGGAATACAGTAACAAGCAAGATGTGTTTAATTAGGGGCTTCTGTTGTGAAGCAGCAGGTTAAAGCACCACCTGTGATGCCAGCATCTCATGTCAGAGCACTGGTTTAAGTTCTGATGCTCTATGTCTGATCCAGCTGATGCATATCTGGGAGAGCAGTGAGGTATGGCCTGAGTGCTTGGCTCCCTATCACCCACATAGGAGACCCCAGTGGAGTTCCTGGCTCCAGGCCTAGTTCAACCCTGTTTCAGCCATTTGAGGAGTGAACCAACAAATGGAAGATCTCTATCTCTCTCCCTTCATCCCTCTCTCCTTCCCTCCCTCCCCCAAAACCCTCTTTCTCCCCCTCTCTCCATTATAAATAAATAATCTTTTAAAAAAAAGATTCAGTGATCCAACCATCATCCTCAGACATGCATGTTGATTGCTAAGCATTCACCACTAACAACAGCTAGTGGAGCTGTGTGATTTGGGATACTTGTAGCCTTGCAAAATAAAAGTCATCACTCCCACTTTACAGAGAGGGAAAAAGGACAGTCTGACACTTGCCATAGGTGAAATTGGTATAGAGAAGGCCCTACATCCAAGTTTAGCCTGATAAGGCTGCCAGATTTAGCCAAGAAAAAGAAGTATATGAAACAATAACACCCAAATGCCCAGTTCCATTTCCATGCTAGATAGACATTGAATGACCCCTTAGTGTAATCATATCCCAAATGTTCCATGGAGTGCAATATATTTGTTGAAAGTTTTTTTTTTCCATTC